GGTTTCACTATGTTAGCCAGGCTGGTCTCAAACTCCTGACCTCAGGTGATCCGCCCACCTTGGCCTCCCAAAGTGCTGGGATTACAGGTGTGAGCCACTGAGCCAGCCATTGCTTGTTTTTGTTAATAAAGTTTTATTGGCACACACAAACATTTTTTACACATTATCAATGTCTGCTCTGGGGGCTGTAACCGCCGTGCTGAGAGGGTTACAACAGAGACCCCACAAGGTTCGAACGTGTACCATCTGGCTTTTTACAAAAAACCTGCTCTAAGGTGGCCTCCTGGGGGCAGGGGGCCAACAGGGGCTTGGGCGGAGGGGAAGCTTCCCAGGAGGTGCTCTCTCTGTGGCTGGCGAAGGGCCTGTGCCACCTGCCTGTCCTTTGGGTGTGTGAGATGCAGGGACAGGGCTGCTGGCGTCTCTGCTCTCCCCTCACCTTCAGACCCTCAGTGCGGCAGGAAAGCAGCCGTTGGGGCGGAGACAGGGCCCCAAGGCTCTGGCCAGCCTGCCTGGCTCCCCCTGCATGGGGATGCCCACATGGCACGCCCACTTCCCTGCCGGGGCATGGTGGCGGCTGGGCGGCCTTCCTTGGGTGGCATCGGTGGTGGATGCCAAGCGTGTCTGGATCTCACGTGAGCGTGGCCTTCAGATGCTTCTCAAGCCCGTGCCTGGTCAGTGGGTACCGAGGGCTGCTGCCCGTCCTGGCTTTCTTCCTGCCGAGGGTGTGGCAGGCCCCACTCTGCTGGGCTGGGGGACAGCAGGGGCCTCCACCTCTGCTGGAGACCACGGGCAGAAGCAGGACCGGCCGGGTGTCTGGGAGAGGCTGCCCACAGGACAATGTGCCCCTGCTCCAGGCCCAGATGACCAGGCTCGGCGAAGAGGTGAGCCTGCGCTTCCTGAAGAGGGAGGCCAAGCTGTGCGGCTTCCTGCAGAAGAGCTTCCTGGCCCTCGAGAAGGTGGGGGCCTGCCTGCGGCCAGCCTGCCCCACACCCCCTTCCCAGAGGCAGGCCTGCAGCAGACGGTGGGGTCTCCCCGCAGAGAATGAGGGCCTCAGAGAGCTCGAGGCTGAGGCTGGAGGGCAGCCTGCGGGGCGAGCTGGAGAGCCGGTGGGAGAAGCTGCGGGGACTGATGGAGGAGCGCCTGCGGGCCCTGCGTGGGCAGCGTGAGGTGGGCCAGGTGGGCGGCGGGCGGGCGGCCAGGGCTGGGGCCGGGGTGTGGGTCTCAGGGCGGCCTCCACCCCACAGCAGGAGAACCACCTCCTGGAGCAGTGCCAGGGCCTAGATGCGGCTGTGGCCCAGCTCACCAAGTTCGTGCAGCAGAACCAGGCGTCGCTGAACCGTGTCCTGCTGGCCGAGGAGAAGGCCTGGTGGGTATCCTGGGGCCTCAGGTGCTGTCAGGCCGGGGGGACCCTGATGTCCCACTCAGGAGGGACCACAGTGGCCGACTCGGCAGGGAATGACCTTGCCTCTCCCAGCAGAGTGCTTGACCCCAGAGGTGCAGCCAGGTTCAGACGGGGCAGCTGTGCGGCCACTCATCCCGTGGGGACTCCTGCTGCTTGCCCAGCCTGTCCTCCCTGGAGTGCTCAGCTGTGGCAGTCAGCAGTGAAGCCCTATCTTGATGGCACTGTGACTGCACCCCATCTTCTGATCCTGGGGTCTCCTTGGAGGTTCCAGAGCCAGCAGCCAAGCTTCCCTCCCGTGCCCAGTGCTGAGGGGTGGGCAGGACCCACAGAGGGCATCTATGTGTCCCCAACCGCTAGGGACGTCAAGGGGCGCTTGGAGGAGAGCCAGGTCGGGGAGCTGACCGCCTATGTGCAGGAGAACCTGGAGGCCGCGCAGCTGGCGGGGGAGCTGGCCCGGCAGGAGATGCACGGCGAGCTGGCACTGGTGAGGGGGGGCAGTGTGTCACGTCCCCCACGGGGTCCCCCCCACACACAGGATGGGCCCTTAGCCGGGCCTCCCCGTGCCCACCTGTCCCCCACAGCTCCGAGAGAAGAGCCAGGCTCTGGAGGCGTCAGTGGTGCAGCTGGCCGGGCAGGTAAAGGAGCTGAGTGGCCGCCTCCCAGCCCTGAGCAGCCGGCTGGACCTGCAGGAGCAGATGCTGGGCCTCAGGCTGTCCGAGGTGCGCCAGGCAGTGGGGGGCAGGCAGGCTGGGGGAGTCCCCATCCCTCAGCTCTCAGCCCACCATTGCCCCCAGGGTAGAGGCCTGACAGGCCTGTCGCAAGCCTCCCATCCCACCCAGCAACTGTCCCCAGGCCTGGGGGATTCCGAGTCCCAGAGACTCCTGTGTGGGGCAGGACAGCCCCTAAGCGGTCTCGGTCCAGCACTTGCGGCCCCTGAGGCCTGAGTTGGAACCTTGACCCATGGCCCAGCTATGCGGCCAGTTCGCAGAGGGGCAGACAAGCAGCCTCCACCAGCATGCACGTGTTCACTCTTTAACAGCTCCATTGAGAAGGATTCTCTCCCCACACAGCTCTCCCATGAACGCATGCAGTTCTGTGTTAGGCTGTCCACAGGGCTGGCCATCGTGCCCACAGCTTCACAGCGTTCATCCCCCAGAGAGAATCCCAGCCCCCTCTGCGCTCATTCCCATCCCCTGCCCCCTGGCCACTTGGGCCCCTCCCTGTCTCCCGGCCCAGCCTGTTCTGAACATTTCCAGGAAACGGACCCATGCACCATGCGGCCGCTTTGTCAGGGACACCCATGGGTGTCCTGTTTCCCCACTCTTTGGCTCATACACAAGGCTTCCTCCCTTCCACCGCTGCGTAATGCGCCTTGCGTGGACACCACCCCCATGTTTCCACTTATCCACCGACAGACATGGCGACAGCCTGTGATTCGGGGCTGAATCCCACTGGGGCCGGCCCTGCCTCACTTGGGCACCTGTGTGGTCAGAACAGCCCCACAGTCCTTTGGCTGCCCAGGCCCGCCTGGCATGTGTGTCCCTAGAGCGTGCCTGGCTGGGCCATCCCGCTGCCTGCAGACCAGTGCACAAATGTCTCAGAGTCAGAAGTGCGCATGGGGGCCGCCTGCCCCCCGGAGCTTCCTGTGTCCGTCTGTCCACCCTGGGGCCCTGTCCATCCATCCATCCGTCTGTCTGTCCTCCCAATTTGGGCTCTGTCTCTCACTGGATGTCTGTATCCCAGGTCAAGACTGAATGGGAAGGTGCAGAGAGGAAGTCCCTGGAGGACCTGGCCAGATGGCAGAAGGAGGTGGCCGCGCACCTGCGGGTTGTGCGGGAGAAGCTGGACGGCCTCCCCCAGAAGGTGGGTGAAGGCACAGCCAGCCTGGTGCATTTAGCCTTGGTGGTGGTATGGGACCCCTCCCCTCCCTGTCCTCTCCCCTCCTCCTTCTCCGGGGGGCTGAGGCCGAGGCTGGTGCTAGACCAGGCCCTGGGGCCACCCGCCATTCCTGGCTCTGTTCAGATAGAGGGCATCTCAGACAAGTGCCTGCTTCACAAGAGCGACTCGGACCTCAGGATTTCTGCCGAAGGCAAGGCCAGGTGCAGCCTCCGGGGCCACGGGAGAGGGGCAGGGGCCCCACTGACTGTCACTGGGCTGGGCCAGTTCCCCACGCTTGCTGCTTTCCACAAGCCCCCCAGTGCCGTGACAGACGTGCTCACCTGCCACCCTGGTGCTTCTCTGAGGAGCCTCAAGCCCTCCCTCTGCCATCTGCCAGGGACTTCCACCTTCCTCACTGGAGGGGTGACAGAGCTGATCCCCCTCAAGCCTCCTTAGCCCTATGGCGGCTGTGGGAGCAGCCCATGTCCCTGGTCCTGGCCCTACCCCCGAGCACACACCACAGCTGGCCCCGGCATCTGGTGCCACAGGGAGTTGGAGGTGGGGGCCCTGCGGCAGGAGCTGGCCACGCTGCTGTCATCCGTGCAGCTGCTGAAGGAAGACAGCCCCGGGCGGAAGATCGCGGAGATGCAGGGCAAGCTGGCCACGGTAATCCCGGGGATGCCCTCGCTCAGCTAGGGGAGAACGGGAGCCATCGGGGTCAGACAGGGCAGCCGTGTGGGCAGGACCCCCAGCCTAAGGGGCATTTTCCAGCCGGCAGGCGAGGCTCAGAAAACCAGCTGTCTGAGGCTGGGCGCAGTAGCTCACGCCTGATGAATCACCTGAGGTCGGGAGTTTTAGACCAGCCTGACCAACGTAGGAAAACCCCATTTCTACTAAAAATACTAAAATTAGCCAGGTGTGGTGGCGCATGCCTGTAATCTTAGCTGCTCCGGAGGGCCCCGGCTTGTCTCAGCCTCTGGAAGTTCCAAGTGGAGTCACCTGCTTGGAGCTCCCACACTGGGGCGTCTGCAGCCACGAGGGCAGGAGCAGCCCTGAGCCCTCGCCGGGTCCCTGCGGGGTTAATCTCCAGCCACCCCTTCTTGTCCCAGGCCCTGACATGGGGCAAGGGCCAGTGTGTGGGCAGGTGCCCCCTGCCCAAACTCTAAGCAATCAACAGCAGGAGTGGGGACGTCCATGCGAACAGCAGGACCCTGGCCGACCAGCCCCGTCTGTGCCCAAATGGCGGCCGTGTTTAGTTTCAGAACCAAATAATGAAGTTGGAAAACTGCATCCAGGCCAACAAGACCATCCAGAACCTCAAGTTCAACAGCGAGGCCCGGCTGGTGAGGAGGCCCTGGGCTGCCGGCACCTGGCACCCACCCACTCCCTCAGCCCTGCTGCCTTCCCGCCTGCCCCATGGCAGGCACCCACATCTGTCTGTCTGAGCGTCTGGCGCTGGGCAGTGTTTCCCTGAAGACAATGGCTTCTGGGCTCCACGTGGGAGATAAGCCCCCTGTTTGCCGTCCCCCACCCAGGGGTCTGGCTCCGGAGTGACGCTGGCATCCCCTCCCCACAGCGCACGCAGGAGGTGGCTGCCCTGAGGGAGACCGTGCTGCGGCTGTGGAGTGAGAAGGGCCCTCAGGCACCACTGGACAGCCGAAAGGCGCTTCCGTCCCTGGCGAGGCAGCGGGTCTTCATCAAGGACTCGGCGCCCGGCAAGGTGGCACCTGTGAACTGCTGGGGCGTGTACCAGGCCATGAGGTGGGCAGCAGGGATTCTCGAGCGGCCTCCTGGACCTTTGGGTCAGGGTTCGGGGTTGGGGGTCCCAAGGGGAGTAGGGCAGGAGTGCAGGGGCCACGTGCCACATCTCTGGACAGGTGGCTGCAGTGGAAGGTGTCTCTCACAAAGCTCAGGGCCCATCAGAGGCCAGGAGGGGTCCCAGAGAAGCCCCACAGCCGGGAGCAGGTGCAGCAGCTCCCACCCTTGCTCTTTATCCAGAAGTAAACGTGCTGGCCTTGTTCTCATTAGAGCTGAGGTTCCCTGACGCCTGCCGGGGGGCCTTCCCAGGGCCTGTGGTGCCGAAAGGGGTGCTGAGGCCCCGGGCAGCGGGCTGCCCAAGCCTGGGGGGGCCCAGTCCCTCGACCCCCACGACCCTTCCTGTGGTGAGAGGCCCGGCCCGGCCGCAGGCCTTTGCTTTTCATGGCACTCCAGCCCCTCTCCCTCCCTGCCGGGCCCCCTAGGGCTGCCAGAGCCCCCTGGGATAGAAGCGGCTGGGCCGGGGCTTGCACAGAAGCACCCAGGCCAGTCCCCGCCAGAACCCGCCACGAGCTGCCCCTGCCTGGGTTGTGAGGAGGACTCGGGGAAGCTGCCTGGCCTGCCTCAGGCTCCCTGCTCTGCCTCGAAGCCCCTCCAGCCCGGCGCCCCTGCAGGGAAGCGCCTTCTAGCATCTGGGGAGGAAACAGCCCTTGTTGGCTCTTTCAGTCAGGCAGTGGTCCTTTTCCTGCCTCTCCAGGAAAGCCCTCGCTCATCCTGTGGTTGCTGGCCCCACCACATGCTGCGTGGGGGCCCAGGGGAGGGGCTGCGGGTCCCAGGCCACCCAGCCCTAGGGCGAGCAGGCAGTGGGAGGGCCGGCCCAGGGGGCAGTGTCCTCCACTGTCCCGTGCCGCTGACCTGGAATCTCTGGGGCTGGCCCCTCAGCCTCCCCTGGGGGCCGCTGGTGGGTGGAGCCCCCCGAGTCTAAGTCTCCTTTGGGCAGGGCTCTGGGGGTCCCTGTGCCCCTCCAGGGGCTCTGCTGGGGCTGAAGGCCAGGGCATGGCCAGGTCTGGGCACCACCCTTGCTGCTCCCACCGCAGCCCAGCCCTGGTGGCGTCTAGGTTTGTCCTGTGGTGGCCAAGAGGGATGGAGGAGGCTCTTCCCAGGAGGACAGGAGGAAAGTCTTTCACCTCGGGGGACAGCCCCACTGCGGCCAGCTGAATCCGACCCTGACCCTCACTAGGCCTCAGCTGGCTGTGCCCCTTCCAGGGCTGGGGTTCCCCCACCAGGCAGCTCAGGACAGCCCTCGGCTGACCAGCTGGCCAGCAGGTCGCTGAAGTCCGGCGTGCCAGGGTGCAGCAGGCCCAGGGGGCTGGGGGTCGGCTCCTTCCAGAAGGACGGGGGCAGCTTCCTCTGGGCCATGGGGGTGATATGGCCGTACTTCCGCTCCAGCCTCAGGCTCCAGCTGGCCGCCACCCTGGGCCCCCAGTACCGCCGCAGCCCATAGTCAAAGAGCTCGGCCAGGGGTCCCAGGGGCTGTGCCCCGTCCCCGCTGAGGCCCGGCCTGTGCACCTGCCCCTGAGGGACCCTGGGCTCCTGGGTGTCCTCGTCCTCCAGGGCCCCGCCTCGGGCCAGGCGCACCAGGTCTGCATAGTAGAGCTCCTGGGCAGTGACGCTGGCTGGGCGGCTGTCGGCGTAGATGTCGCAGGCATCTGGGTCCTGCCCCTTGTCCTTGCGGCCAAAGTACCGCCGGATGTCGTCGCTGATGAGCTCTGAGAAACGCAGCAGCTGCAGCGGTGTCTCGGCGCTGCTGGGACCCTGAGGGGCTGCCTCCGCGGGGGCCTCTGCCCGGCCTGAGCTCGGGAGGATCGGGCTGCGGCCCCCCAGCCCCTTACCCTCCAGCTCCTCCTCCTCCTCCTCTTCCTCCTCCTCCTCCTCCTCCTCCGAAGTCTCTGGGGGCTCCAGATCTGAGGGCGGGAAGGGGTGGTGGCGCAGCAGGGGCAGCCGGAAGTCGCACAGGGGCCGGATCACGCCAGCGGCCATTTCCGCACTGTCCCGCGCTTCGGGGACCTCCGGGGCAGCAGGCGCTGGCTGGGGAGGGAGACCGAGGGGCGGGTTCCCCGTCAGGCCTGGCCATGCCCCGGCCACCCACGACCACTGCACTCAGAGCCCACAGGTCTGTGGCCTCCCCCGGAGACCTTCCTCAGCGCCTCGGCTCCCTGGAGGTCCCGGCCCTCCAGTTGTGCTTGTCGAGGGTGTGGATCACCACGGGAGTGAGGTGTGGGGAGAGACAGGGTGGGCACTGTGGCCACGTGGCAGGGGCATGAGGGCATGGTCAGCCGGGGCTGAGGCCTGCTGGACTCAGGATGGCCACTGGCAGGAGCCATGGGGTCCTGTTGTGGGGGCAGTCGGGTGGGCCCGGGGATGGCGTCACTAGAATTGTGGTCACTGGGGAGGGGAGCACATTGGGTGGAAGAGAGGAGCCCTGGGGACTGGACCTGGAGAAGCCAGGCAGGTGGCCAGGGACCCTCACAGGCCAGGGTAGGGGGACGGGGGCTGCTGAACCGGAGCTGGGTCCCAGGCTGGGGCTGCTGTAGCATCGGACCCAGGGGCTCCATGGTTCTTAGTCAAAGGGGGGACATCGGCCACACTGGGCCCAGAGCTGGTGCAGCCGCTGTGCGTTTCTTCGGGGCCATCGCAGTCCCATGGGAGCAGGAGGCAGCACCCCAGTGGCCCTAACTCTGTGATGATGGAGGCAGCTGAGGTGGGAGGTCACTAAAGGGGTGGGCTGCAGGGGTCACTGCACCTGGCGGGGACCCCTCAGGGGAAGCCCTGGGGTGAGGGGCCTGGCAGGAGGGTGTCTGGGCAGTGACTGTGGGATGGGTGCAGCTCCCCTTTGGGCCAGCTGCCAGGCAGGGCCCACCACAGAGACCAGGGCTGCCCAGCCCCTCCAGGTGTCCCGGGGCCAGGTAGCCTGGAGCCCATCTTGTCTGGAGCCTAGGACAGGGGGGCAGAGGGAGGGAGGAGGGATACGGGGAAGGAGGAGGGCTGCGGGGAGGGAGGAGAGCTGCGGGGAGGGAGGGAGGTCTGCGGGGAGGGAGGGAGGTCTGCGGGGAGCAGCCAGGGCACTGGGACAGGCGTTCCTCCGGGTCAGGATGTTTCCCTGCTGGCTGGCGGGGAGGTGAGCTTCAAGGCCCCCCGACCCGACATGGCTGGCCACACCATGGTCCTAATCTCACTCAAGTGCTGGGGTCCCCGTCCTGGGAGGCATCCAGTGGCCTGAGCCCTGGACTTTGGGGCTGCTCACAGACTGTCCAGATGCAGGCACCCTCCCGTGACCACCTGCCCCGATGCCTGCCCAGCCCTGGGCCAGCCCAACGCTCTGGGGGCTTACCCAGGGGTGGGTGGTCCCCGAAAAGCCCTGGACAGAAGGACTCACAGACTCAAAGTGCTCACGGCTGTGGCAGTCCTCAGCAGCCCCCGCCCCCCAGGCCCTGGCTCCTACCTGATCGGGGCCCACAGCTCTTGCTCCACAGGCGCACCTCCACCTGGACACAAGCATTTATAGCTGGGCTCTGCAGCCGCCAGGGGCTGGCAAATATTTGGCGACAGCATTGTCATCGCAGACTGGGCAAATAGAGCCCGTTTGCTTTAGCGCCCAGCAACCAGGGTCCCAAGGGGGGAGCACACCCCCGGCCTCACCTGCACGCGGCCTGCCCGGGGACCGTGGAGTGTTTGTGTGGGCGCAGCTGGCTGGCCCCTGGGCCCCCGGGACCCTTATCTCTGCTGCTAACTGGGGCCCGGACCCAGCCTTGTCAAATAGGCGGAAAATTAAATTTCATGCTATTTTGAGTTCTGGAGTAGGCCTCTCTAGAGGACATCCTGTCTCTGCAGCCAGTGGGGTGAACGCCAGTCCTGGCTGCAGGAGGGCCCTGGAGATGGGGCTGGGGAAGGGGGCGAAGTCCTAGGGACCCCTAGCCAGAGCCCGGCATGTGGGCTGCAGGGAGGGTCCTGGAGCACCTGCCCAACTCCCCCAGCCATCGGGCCCTCCTGGCCAGCCCGGACCATCTCCACTGGCCCAGCTGTGACTGGGACACCTGCGGGGGCCACCGCTGCCCGCCTGCCCAGAGCTCAGAGGTGTTTGCAATTGATCATTAATGGAGGACCCCCCTGCTTCCCTGGGCCTTTCTTTCTCTGCTGCAGCCACCCCTGGGGTGGGAGTGGGGAGCTGGGGACCCTCCCCTTGCCTGTTACTCCCAGGAAAGCCTCCCCCAGAAGCACCCCAAGGGCCTCTGCCGCTCCCACTGACTCCTGGCTGCTCCTGGGTGGCCCTAGCTGGTGCACTGTGGGGACCGTGTTAGCTTCCTGGGGCTGCTGTGACAATGAGCACAACGCAGGTGGCCTGGAACGTAGGTCCGGAGGCCGAGGTCCTGGGCAAAGCTCGCCAGGAGTGGCTGGCTCCTTGCCCCGTGGTTGTGTCTCCCCAGTCTCTGCCTCTGTCATTACAGGGTCTTCTCTGGGAGTGTCCTCTGCCCTCCTAGGGGTACCTCATCCCTGGATTTGGGGCCCGTGCCTACCCGGTGTGCCCTCAGCTTCACCAGTTACACCTGCAGGGTGGCCCCACCATTTCCAAATGAGGTCCCATTCAGACCTGGCGTGGACGTGCATTGTGGGGACTTGGCTCATCCCGGCACAGGCGCCATCCGCATGTGACTGTGCCTGGCCTTGGCATTCACCAGGTGTGCCCCCCCACTTGGCACAGTGCTCTCCGGAGCAGCCCCCAGTGGCCCAGGTTGGGAGGACTCCATAGTGCCCTTCCCAGGGACTCCAGCTCTGAGGACGGGACAGCAGCCCCCAGCCTGGCCTGGCCCTGACACTCCCTGTCCCAAGCCCCCAGCTCCTGGGCCTTCACCTTCCAGGGGCCCGGGTGACCCACACCCTGGGTCCTCACCCCTGCACTCCAGGCGTCCCCCAGTCAGGTGGGAGACCGGCCCCTCCCGCCCTGTGGCATCCAGTGCACAGGGATTTGGGCAATGGGCCCGGCCCTTCCCTGTGCCCGGGGGCCCCTCGCTGACCTGCCCCTGGTTTCTTCAGGCAGCCTCTGTAACCACCCAGCGTCTGCGGCTGCACTCAGGACCCCCGGCTTTGGAGGAAGGGACAGGAAAAAGTTCAGCCTTAAGAGTGAGCCCTGCAAAGGCCCGGCTGGCGACCGCCACAAAGGGTCTGGGAAGCCTCCCGAGTCTCATGCTGAGGAGCAGGGGCACCTGGAGAGGCCCCAGTCCCAGGAGTGGCTGTGGGAGTAGGGCAGGGACAATGTGGGCACGGATGCCAGTTACGGCTTCTTACTGCTCTTTCACAGGGAGCATCCAAGCCCAGTCCAGGTGACCCACAGCCCAGGTGACCCCACAGCCCAGGTGACCCCCAGCCCAGGTGACCCCA